TATGTCATATAAAAATGTATCATTTTTATTGTTTACAAATAAACAGTTCATACAAACAAGATAAAATTTTTATCATGAGATATATCTTTGGACTGTAAGAAACATTATGATGCCATATTTAGAGACAAATGTCCCCTAATGCGATCCGAGCTTAATGCGAATAAATGTACTGTTATATAAATAGACCTGCAAAATTGGACTGTACGGTCGACATCAAAAGTATATACTTATATTGAATGTAGGATCATCGTGAGGATCATTTTTGTCCTACTGCTGTGCACCAGCCTCTAATCCTAAGAGATTTAACCTACTAGTCCTACTACTATGGTAGTAGTAGTAGACTGGCTAAGCGGTCTAGTATAGCTTTTTAATTATTTTGCCCCCTGAATTGTATCGGCATTTATGCTTTCTCATAAAACCTCTTACGACATTCTGGCCAAGAAAATGAGTGGCGACGTATTGTATTATTATTATAATATATATATTATAATCTCGAATGATACAATGACAAAATATGACACATTTTTCGTAATGTATCGTCCTTTTTTTTTAATTAACACAGCGTCATCTAGCGATAAGCAATCTGTGGTATGGATACTAGACAACTCATATAGATACATTTTTTTCAACATACAAATAGTCATACTCATGAGTATAATTGTTTTTACCGAGCGAGTAACCGAGCTCGCGACCATCGCGAGTAAGGCGGTGTCCTAAACCGTTAAACCACTGAGGCTGTCGAAGATGAAGTCCAATGTAAAGCGATATAGTTCAAACCTCGTCCTGCTCTGCATGGGAAAAGTGCAGTGTATACGATAATTACGAGTAATTACGAGTACTTGTATCGTCCTACGTCTCGGGTATACTCTTTTAATGAGTGGTCTCGCGTCTCAACTGATTGAGTCTTATATTGCTAGCATAATACCTGTGCCGCATCCTGTAGCTTAGTCTTAATGATACCTTTTATAGCCACTTAGTACCCAGTTTTGTTCTAAAAGCATCTCCACGCCACGATTTAACATGTTTTTTTATTACGATAATAGATACCTTTTAAGAAGTTTTAGTTTTATTTTGTAATATTGTTTTTTTTTTTACTTTCTTTATTCAATTATTACCTGTTACATTCTTGATGGATACCTACGGTATAAGAGGAAATATTTTACCTTTTAATTTACATTTATTTTTAAACTTTCACGTTGCTTTTGTTTTCGGAAGAACACGTGACATGATTTTAGGTAAATATGATATAACGAAATAATTGGCTCCGGTTGTTTAGTAATTTAATATACAGCCTTCCTTCCGATGGTGGGGGTTTGAATTTGGCAAGTAACAAATTTTTGTATTCATGCACGTATGATTTTTGTCGTGTTTACTGTGTATATTATGTAAAAAAAATAAAAATATTAATTATATAAATAGTACTACAATAATATAGTATATATATGTAGTACAGTTGTTTAGTACCTACTCATAATATAAGCTCTTCCTAGTTTGAGACTAGATATCGCTGTGTGAGTTCTCCACCAATAAATCTGGGTGACAATTTCTATTTATTAGATACCTGATTATAAACTGACTCTGCAGTAAAGGAAACACCGATATCAAAAATTAATCGAAAAACTACGGTAGACTCGCTCCCTGCCACGTGGAATCAAATGTACTCAGGAAAATGTAGGCATATCAAGAGTCACCAAAACAGCGAGAGTTTACAATGGTTCTGGTTACCTCATATGTGATAACAGTCGTGACAGTATCTTTATTATTATAAACTTGAGTAATCTCTTAAGTCGTTATTTACTCGGCTAATTATAACATTAGACAGTTCTGGTCACTCCTCGTTTACATAATGTCGTTATGCTACTGTTTACGTTTCATTACTCCGGGCCGTCGTAACTTGCGGCTATAAAATTGTTACGGCCCACTATATTATGATTTTTTTGCGTCAAATTACGACTTCAGTAATGATAAATAATGTCAGTTATATTGAAATAACTCTACAATTTAATACCACTTACAATTAATGGTTATATATATTACTAATATTAAAAAAGTGAAAGTTTGTAAATATGTACGTTTAAATGTTTCTTTCACGCTTAGGTTAACCCTGTGTTACACAGCGCCATCTGATTGAAAACTAAACATAACTTATTCTGTTGTTATCTACTACACTACTGATATTTCGTGACATAAAACTATATTTCGTAATAGAAAGCACGCGTAACCTGTCTTCTCACATATAAATAGCCAGTCAAACAAACATACATATGCAAATATTGTGTGTATGTATATATTATGTGAATATCAAACCTGTAACCCTATGGTTGCATTGCAAAGGATAATTTATAGCGGCATTATTTCTACCTATATTTATATCATCAAAATAAAATCTATATCTTGTATAACTTAAATGGCCTTTATAGAAGTCGTTTCCCGTAATTGGCAAATAGAAGTAATCCGCCTACAATGTTAGAAATATTTCAAAATAGATTACATTGTATTAAATTAAATAAAATAACAAAATATGAAGCCGGAAGGGAACGTGGACAAAACTTGTGGCAGCTGACGTCGCCACGGGTTAATCTCTGTAACCCGATGCCTCATGATGCACTTCGAGGTATGGCTTCCTGTTGTACGAATAAATCAGCCGCATATGTCAGTCTTATAAATAGTATGTGAAAGTAATCAAATTATTTATAACATTTTCTTATTATAGACTAGCTACCCACCTCGGCTTCGCACGGGTGTCACTCTATCTATAACATAAACCGCTTCAAAATCCATTGCGTAATTTTAAAAATTTAATTATACATAGGTACGGACAGACAGCGACTTTGTTTTAAACTATGTAATGATTAAGCAGTACGATATGTTTGTTAAATTTGTACCTACTAGTTATCTCCAGTATTTGTAGTATTCACGAGCTAGTTGATTTACGTGAAAAAAGAATGTTAAGATCTCTTAATTGTATTGGTACCAAAAATCTATATAAATTCATAGTCTGTGAACAGTTCAGAGTTTGTATTATGCACATAAGATACTTAAATATACATTGTATATATACATAATATACAAAAACCTGATTAGTACAAACAGAACCTTCGAACCCGAAGTCGCAACCCTCGAAAGATGAAGATAAGGATTGTGTTAAGTCAGTTAATAAAAAAAATCCTTTTATTCGAAATAATCGGTAAGTCGATGTGGTACTTATTAACTATGGTACTTATATAAATGTACTACATAAAAAAATGTACCACAATAACTGTCATTTAAAGTTTAAATTTAAATCACACTTTCCACTAAGAGACTAAAAAGTGCGATACTGTTTAGTTCATTTTTTTCTTGTTGGAAAGTGCGTGCACACCGTCCGACACGCGCTCTACTATCCCCGTAAGCTAACCAATGCAATTTCTAATGTAGCAGCTCCTTACACAGAAAATAACATTACCACTTTATCATTTAATAGCTCTATTCGCGTGTCGATCGCTATCCCATACATTTTAATGGTGCATTATACGTGACTTTGAATGTTTCAGCCTTTTAAAGTCTTCAGAGAAAGTACGTGCTCTACTAGTCCACGATTTCTAAGGTTGCATACCTCGAAAAAATTAAAAGTATTCATTTAGCTACCTGTTTGTTTAACAATGTTTTGTCCCAAGTTTTCACAGAAACTGTTAATGTACGGAAATCTTATTTATTTTTAAAACAAAATACGTCCCAAATTACTGGCTGATATTACGTAAAACAATTTTATTTTTACCTTTTTTAGTTTTAGGTACGTTTTGTGTTTATTTATTACCAATATAAAAAGAAAAATATAATATTTCCTCTTTATAATACTAGTATAGTATTATAGATAATGCAATTTAATATTATGACTAGCTTTCTGGTACATAAATTGAATGGACATAAACACTGATGTACTTACACGTTAATAATATAAACGATATTAACTACTACTGTTGAACTTTAAGCTTAAGCCATTCGTATCAATATACATCTTATTAAATAGCAATAAACCCAGTCTGGTTTATCCGGGTTCAGCTTATCTTTACAACATGGTTTTCTCCTGGTTAAATAACTAATTTATTAATGTCATTAATGTTTCCTTAGCTGTTTAGAAATACATTGTAAGATTGAGAACTGCATGCATATATACAGTCCTTTACGAGAGTAAATAATATAGTTTAAAATAGATAATACTTACTTTAGCTATAAAATGAAAAACTGGATCACATTATGCGTATTTTGTAGGGTATACATCCGCTAAAATATAATGTTATAAAATTTCAACCTAATGACACCAAGCGTACGAAACCGCAGGCAGTAAGTAGTAATGACGGATAATTTAAACAATTATGTTTACACAGTGATAAGAAACTATTATTCGATTTTTTTATAGTTTCCGTGGGTGTTAAAATAGCAATATCTAAAAACAGATTTTAATACATAAAAATAGACGGTGGTTTAGAATTGTGAGTGGAGATATATTGAGATTGATTTAAAAGAGCAACAAGCAAGTTTCTTGCTCATTCTTCTTGAGGTTAGACAGCTTTCCTAAAGAGTGGTAGATTAAATAAAAATAAGTGTGACTATTAAAAAAATATTGATTTTAAGTTTATTTGAATAAATCTATTACATAATTAATCATACAGTACTCATAAAATTATTTTCTCGCTCTCAAATAAAATAGTTGAATAATCGTAACGGCAGAAATTTATGCATCCCATGTACTCTTTTTAGTGTCCTCAATGACACTTCTTGGCCCCTATAATTATTTGAAGAGTAAGTACGAATTCATTAGTGACTCCATACTCTTAATCTTCGTTCGCCCCATTCCCTTCTTTCAACTCCTGCAAACCATTCTGGATTTATATGTAACTCATTCACTGTCACTGCTATTAGTTTTTGGGATAGAATGCCTATAGAATGACATATGGCATTAAGCTTGCCAAATTGTACAATTTTATAAATGCAATAATAGAATAAATATTTTTTTTTAGCAGGAAGTAGTCCGTGGTCCCCCGCTTGCGCTGCCGCCGGCGAGTTGTGCGCCCGCGCCTCCTCAGTCCCTGGGCGCTGCACCGCGCACCATTGTCATACATAAGGTTGACGCACGCCACAATTTCGGCTTCTCCCTGAGGCACCTGGTCGTCTACCCGCCGGAGGACTTGAATGTGAGTTCTTACATTATTACAGCATACTACTACAATTGATGGAGATATTCAGTGGATATTACCACTAAATACAACTTTTTCTTAATTTCATCACAGTCGCACGTAAGATTTGGTAATTAGCAACAAGAACGAACTCCACCGACAAGAGCACAGCTCTTAAATTATGAATGAATGGAATTTATTTTAAATTCCACAACACAAATTGAATATTTTCGTGTAGTAGTTATAACATGGCAAGGTGACAATAGGCAGATTATCGCTAATTACCCATCTATTCTAGAAAACCTTAATATGAAGAGCAGTAACTAAACTTTGTATTAATATCTCACTAACTTCTCCAGCAGCTTGTTTTGAAAGCTGAGCTTTGTTTTAATATCGCAGTCAAATTACTAGGGATCCGAAATAATATGGGCTTCACAATATATTTTATGATGGTTGTTATTTTTCATAAGCCTGCTTGCCGTTCCAATTTTAAAAACAAACTTAATGCAATAAAGATATAATAAAATATAATATTTAATCACTAATAACTTCTATAACTTCTTTGACCGCCGGTAGTCTAGTGGTATAGCATACCGCTTGACAAGAATTCGATTCCTCGCACGGTGCAAACATTTGTATTCATGAGTATGATTGTTTGTATCGGTCTGTATGTTTTCTATGTATGTATTTACAAAAAATATATGTATAAGTATTAATATCATCTGTCTAGTACACCTAACATAATCTCTGCGTACCGTGGGACCGTGGGATGGCGCTTTGTTAATTGTTCAGTATTATCTATTTATTTATATTCTATGACTTTTATTCAGTATTAAATTGTCATGGTGTATTCGATGGACAGGATCTCTACGACGATGCGCGCCCCCTGGCCGTGGGCGCGGTCGTCTCGCCGATGGACACGATCTTCGTGAAGGTAGTGCGGCCGGGCGGGCCGGCGGCTGCTGCGGGTCTCCGCGCTGGGGATCGCATCCTCGCGGTCAACGGGGTGCCGGTCGCGTGCGGCCACTCCAGGGCTTCCTACCAGCGGGTGGTGCAGATCGTGCAGAAAGAACCCCACACGCTCAGGTTGACTGTGGTGCCGAGGGATCACGACTTGTTGCAACGGGTTAGTACGATTTTTAATCATAAGGCTACGTTTCGCCAACCTTTACATATAAATGGGTGCTCCCGATATTGTAACAAACGTTCTTGTCACAAGTTGACTCAAGGTCGTTTATAGAATGTTTACAATTAGGTTTAAACAATATTTCCTCCATAATTTACCGGTTTGTTCTTGTTTGTTGGCATTTCTATACTGTCCGAATTTCACAAAGCATAACTTGACATGTCTTATTAGTATTATTGATAGATGAAACAAAATGATAACAAGATATTTTAGTTTTATGTATACATACATAATCCAAACATTTATGTAAGAACATTATACTATTACCAAGTTGGAATATAGTTTGAATGGATTAAAAGTAATAAAAACTCGTTTATGGATTTATGTAGTTTTAAAGAAATTGACGCCCACTTTTAAGTTTTTGCATTAACATTTTTAGCGTTATGGCCATAACACGAATACTGCTACGATCTGTGTAGTCGAAAGGATTAAGTAATTTGATCTATAACTACAGTCATTATTGTAAATTGTAAACAGTGCTTAATACCGCAGATAAAAGTGAAATATAAAAAACTATCGACCTGTACAAATTTAAATCAAGGAAAAGAAAATAGACGACTAGTGTAATAAAGCGTAAGTTACAAGCCGAAACTATTAAATAATTATCGCACAGGTCATAAAATATATCTTGCGTGATCTCGCGTCATCCGCGACTCGGTGACTCACAATTTACGTCTGTAAATACGACGTTGATATTCGATTTTATGGGATCTTTGACCACTTCTGTTTCACCGGCAACCGTACATAAATTGCCATTTTAGTTTACATACATACACGCTATAAACGTGTGTCATATTGTACTATAGATCATTCGATGAGTGGTACTTAAAATTTATTACTCTACGTATACATTTATCGCATAAACATAGTAGTCGGACGATTTTGCTTGGAGGCTAAAAGCCTCCAAGGTAAATTGTCCAACCATGGCGCTATGTAGTTAAAATCTCTTTTTACTTTGAATATACTTCTAATCATTGTCTTCCCTTTCTTATTTTTTAAAAAATTTTGCACGAAAACTTCTAAATCCATTCTTTGACCTGTAGCATTAGAATCCAGATTTTTCCCGTCGAATGTCCATACTCTCCATGTGTATAAGAAATATGTAGGTTGTAAGAAATCCCTGTATAAAGCTGCTTTGTGAATGTATGATGAATATACGATTATCGTATATTCTATGCCCTATAAAACTTAATTAATACAACACTTACTACATAACTTATGTATTGTCTTACAGTATTTTAGCGAAGCCGCTTACAATCCAGAATCGAACCAGCGACCTATAGAAATGCCGACACCGATAACAGAGCTAGAGTCGCGTTTGTTCGACGCGTACCGGAGGACTAGGCCTGCGCTGCCAGCTCCGCAGGCGGCGAGGCATAGGGAAGACCCCGAGTATGCAAGCGTCGCTCCTCACGCGGCGTCCCGATTTGATGCTCCACGGCTGACTGGCGCACCTCATTATTTCATGCATGACAGGTACGTACCTGAAAATTAAAGTTTGTTTTTCATAACAGAAGAACAAGAACAGACAACAGAAATATCTGATCCTATCAAATCGGTTATATTTTTCCATTGGCAAATTCGTTATGAGAATAATAGATACTGATGCTACTTAACTGATTACCAAAAATTGCACTCTAACAAACCTTAATTAAAATATAATGTATCTTAATTATCTTATATCTTACAAATCGAAACCGAAGTCATCTATTTTTATAGTAAAATGTTTTCGTCACTTATGTCTTACGTGTATAGAACACGTCATTTATATCTTCATTTTAATCTGCCGTCATTTTCTTTTTTTATAAGTATTCCTATGTACGGGAATTTAATGAATTTATTATGTTGTTGTCTTTCGCGACATTTGTATCGAACTTAATTTTTCTCGTATATATAAAAAATATTAGGGCAAAAAATAACAAGCTTTAAAGATATTATATTTTCAATGATCTCCTTCAACGTATAAATTAAAACCAAATATAATGTATAACCCTTTCTTATTTTCAGGAGAGAATCTGATATCTCATCACCCTCGTCAGTAGCAGAAAGCAAAGACAGTCTTGGCTCATTCGAGTCGAACTCAACGTTGACCGGCCGCGAACAAGACGATTCGATTATCCTTTCCCGAATACGAAAGAGCCTCGAACAAAAAGAGGCCTTCCTCCGACGTCCGAGCCAGCCGACTGGTTGGGTCACCCCGGACGTTCCCCCGCCGATCAAACAAAAGGAATTCTATGCGAGGCCACAAAAGTTACAAAAGCCAGCATGGCCCCCGCCTGCTGCCTCTCCTCCCCTCGCGTTGTCCCCTCCACCCTCGCAGCAAATACAGGAACAGAAGAAAGACGACTGTTCTGCCAGTGTTGATAGTGGGACGTATAGCGGTTCCGGCGAATTGAATGGCGCGCACGCAGATAGAAGTAAAGCGAAACAAGATAAAAGCCAATTTGTATCGACATTATCTAAAATACAGGAGTCTACACCGACAGTTCAGAGTACCAACCTTGGGACAGTCAGCAATGGATCGTCTGCGGAGTTTAGAGATGAATCAGCTTCTGCAAGTCATCAGGATGGCAGGTAATATTGTCTAACAATTTGAAATGTATTGACTTTGTTGTTTGTACTTCATATAAAATAGGTAGAGTTTTATATACTAGGATTTGTACTTACGATTTTAGTAAAACTAGATATTTTATTTAGAAGTAATATTTGTTCATATTATATGTGATGTTAATCACAATATTTATATCGTACCTATTCGTTGAAAAGTCGACTTTTTGCTTCTAATAATCAATTATTATTAAAATCTGTTCTGGATGCAAATGCATTTGTTTTGTACTTTATTTTTGTTGGGCAATACAATTATAGTAAGAATATCAAATTATTTTTAATATGTACTACAAACCCAGTTAGTCTCTGAAAATGTAGGTTTCTATATCAAAATAAATAATAAATTCTATTATTTTATTGGTTTAAACATTACAAACCAAAGATCTTTCCTTTTTATAATAATAATAATTTATATTGTTACTAGTCAATAAGCGAGCTGTTATACTATCTTCCAGGAGAATACCGACCGAGCAAGAGCCGGCAAGTCGGTACGGTGGCGGCGAACTGCAGCTGGTGACTGCGCGGACGCGGCAGCTGGCGGCGGCGCGCGGGGCGGCCGCGGCGACGGAGGCCGCACGCAGCGAGCTCGCGAGGCTCTCCACCACGCGGCTCGAGCCCAGCGTCGCGCTGCGGCGCCGCGAGTTCGAGGGACGCGCCACACGGCGCGATGCGCGCTCCCTCGATGTACAACCGCACCATGGTATGTATGCCGCTTCTATTGTATACTAGCTGTGCCCGCGGTTTCATCTGCATGAAATTTATAGCCTATATGTTGTTCTGATGTATAAGTTATATTACTATGAAGTTTCATCATCCGTTCAGTAGATTTTGCGTGAAAGAGTAACAAACATCCACCTACTATATATACTCACAAACATTTGCGTTTATAATATCAGTAAGATTTTTTACATAATCTCTGTTTCAAACTATTCTAATGCTGTTAACTGCGACTGCACCTTACTGCTTAATAGAGGACGAGTGTCAATGGCACTCCAAGCCCGCGGGAAGACTAAAGACCAACTATTTAATTTTTATGGTGTGGAAAAATCTTCAAAAGAACGTCTCTTTAAAAGTAAGATAATGGAATAGTGCACATACCTGCGCTAATGGTATACACAAGTGGAATACCAATGAAGAATAATAGAAAATAGCATGCAACTAACAATTTCCTCTATCCGTTGTGTGATATTTGTTCACTATTCTCATCAGGACAATTAATTAGGTTCTATAATAATTCTGTGTACAAATACACGATAAATATGATTTTGTATTATTATATTGCAGAACTTGAGCATGAAATACCGATTGGCGGCAGTTTGTCAGGCAACCAGCTGATGATCACCGGCAGCAAACACCTCCATTGCCCACCACCAGAAGGATATGTGCCCGGTAAATATTCAATATCCACTTATCACAATTGCTTCAGTCTCATACATACGTATATGGACATGGCAGCCATTGCAGCGCATCACATTATCGGCGTTGCAACTTAATTTTCACTTAGTGCTCATTTTCATTTTATTTCTTATACCTCGGCTCCTAAGGATCATAGCGTGATGTAGATCATCCTTAAGAATTCGGATATTAAATGCAAAAAAAAGATGTTTCTGATCCGACTGATAGTTCCAGAGATTAGAGCATTCAAACAAATTAACTTTTCAGCTTTATATATTAGTTTAATTCCATTCATGATGTTACAATAGGTTGCAGAACATATTAGTTTCTAATAGCACTATAGGTGCGGCAAGTTAGAATAGTAGTGGCCTTGATAAATATTTATTTCTATTATAACACATCAGTAGTTCAAATGTTAATATCATTTTGACCTTGTTCCTACAATTTGTCCCGTGAACGTAACGTAAACGTTCTCTCTATTCGAATAAATACATTTGTTCCAGAAACAGAAAAGGTTCAAATGCGAACAAGGTCAAATAGTACCGGTAGTGAAGGCTTACCCATTAGAAGACATCATGCCACAGGTAATGTTCACGTTTGCAAGCTGTACACGTGCCATGGCTTCATTTGTAACTCCGTCATAGGAAATACTACGATTATAATTCAATATGTCGGCATTGCCATGACGGATATTTATTGAATGGGGTCATTTTCATTAACTAACTAGATAACGCCGTAGTTGTATTTGGCGTTAGTCAGATAAATTCGTTTCTTATTAGATCAACTAACGACTACGAAATAATTATAAAGCATATTTCATTAGTGATAATAGTGAGTGAGAACATGCAGGTCACGCTGTGCTGTGCTATTACTTGTCACTACACCAACACGCACATTTTCATTATATGTAATTTTATTCACTCAGTTTACATCTTGACACTGTTTATATACGAGGAACGCTTAATGCTTCAATGGTTATTGGTCAGCGTTTTTAAAAATCGAATCGCAAACAGCTACGGTCGCCATCACTAACCAATACGCGAATCGATGTAAACGAACGCTCGCTAATAGCAATTTTGCGCCTCAAGATGGCAGTCACGCGAAGAAACGAATGGGGCTGAACAGAGAACAAATGGAGGCGATGAACCGTGTGTCGCTGCCCGGCGCGATGAACGGACTGAACGGGCCGCAGAGGCCGACGCAGCTGAGCCTGGCGCCGCCGTCGGCCTCCACGTCGGCCTCGGCCTCGGCCGCCACGTCGCCGTCGCCGACGCCGAGCACGCCCGCCGACTCAGGTCCCGCCTGCGACGCACTTCGTCTTCTTCTTGGAATGCTCTCGCTCCATCCCTGGCTGTTGCTTGTCGGTAGCAAGTCGAGTTACTTACTTACAATTTAAACCTCAAACATTCGTAATTGAATTGCTTTTTTTAAATACTCTAAATTTTCATTAATAACTAACTCGACTTGTTTTCATGAATGTTCTGACGGAGCGCTTCAAATCAATGTCTCGTTCTAGACATTTCTTTGAAGCATCGTATGGGAGTCGGCGATGTGGACCTAACCTATCTTTTCTACTAAATATTAACGGAATGCGATGTGTGTGCTTATATGCGGACTAACCGTCGTTATCATTTGGTGTTAATAATACTAATCTAACGTTGTGGGACAGCGATTATTCGTATAAAATTACTAATTGATACATTTTGCTACAGGTTTTGCCGATGATTTGGTCACAAGAAGACAAAAGAAAGATGCTCAACTTGGTGGTTAGTATATAAAATATTTTCGCTATTTAATATGATATGCCTAAAAGTTGATTTTAACCGTAAGGAATCTTCGTTGAGGATAGATAGCTAATAAATTATGCGTCCGTGGACAATAGTGATGTCACCTGCATAAATAGTTTATCTACTCGATGATGAAATTTCACTTACCCCATCATGTCCAATTCAGCAAGACTATACACCATAATTTTCGGGGGCTGTATTCAGTTAGACCTAACAGCGTACATTTCTAACAATTAAACTAATATACTCAAATCTAAATCTAAAATGACATATTGTTTAATTTTCTATGAATGCTTAAATATAACACTGAAAATGAAATTATAAACTCATTGATGTTCATTATTTCTTTTAACAGAGGAAGAACGGGCAATGCGTAGGGTATCGTACCTCAAAGCAACGTGGGGCGATCGTGTGCATATGGACAGTGATGTCGAACCTGACAGTGAACATCATGGTCTTAGAAGGTACTTAACATTTATTTTATCTTTCTTACAACCTAGTCATTGAGGTCTGCTATGTTCTTTGAATGTCTAAAAGTATATAAATACTTTTGTTTTTTTGTCTGTGAAAAGTAAGTCTTCGGCTCTCCTTAAGTCACCAAAGTAGCCGATTGTTCTATATATTATTTATATAGATTTTTCTTAACACTTTTCATAACAGACTCTAATGACTATATTTATTACTGCAGTAGAATAATAGTCCCTTGTAGTTAACTCTAATCAAAAATGAATAACATTTGTATCTAGACATCTGTGTTAGTATACCAACTCTTTACTGTGATAAGTAGTTATTGTTTATTACTATACCATCTCTTTTCTGTGTAGTTAGTACCTACCTATCCTATTTTCTACATTTTTAATAATTGTGGATACATTAACCGTCAATATACATAGAATGTGTATAATTGGTATATAAGATTCATGTATAATCGGTATTGGAGATAATTTTATTAATGGGGTGACTGAAATTGAATTATGAACAGCATGCACCGCAAGTGGCGCCCCCCACGCTTCGCCGACGACATTACGGCGTTGGTGAGAAAATTCGACCCGCACGCGGTCCTCCCCGTGCGGTACGTCGCATACAGCCGATAGGTGGCGCTTTATAACGTGTGTGTGATAGTTTACGAAGTTGCATAATAGATGGCGCTATACCTTACAAAAGTAACAAGAAATTAATTTGTTGGAACACAATTATTGAATGAATTTTGAATTTTCTATAAAACAATTTCTTTGTAAGTCTAGCACTGCATTTGCCTTAATCTATCGTATAATTAATCACTGAGTAAGTGATGAACTAGCCACAAAAATAATAATAAGATCATATAAAGATACTTGGATCATTCATCAAATAACATGTGATTTGGTAGCTTATTTTACCACAAAATACTTCCAACTCTAATCAGTAAATCAGAGTAGTAATTATGTGTTAATATGTCAGAGTATCGACTGCATGGAATAATGAATCTTATGTGTGCATGAAAGTTGATTTAAAATGCAATATTAGTAAAATATTTGTTGTTCGGCATGTTACTTGTTTGCTGTTGTTAGTGGTTTGCTGATGCCGTTTAGAATAATTAATATACCAAATGTTATAATGATTGTTACTTCAATAGGTGGGTGAATTTTGTTATTAAATGAAATGCATTTCACTAAAGATTTTAATTTAATTAATTAAGTAGCACTAGCATCCATCTCGATATTAATAACAGTTGGTAATAATTTATAAAGATACTATTATTGTAAAAGACAATAAGTTAAATTTAATTTATTATTTAAAAAAATATGAATCACTTCTTAAATCAGATTTAGAGTAATGTAATTGAACAAAACTGCTTCATAATTCTAATATTCACTATGTCGTCTAACTTAGTGCCTATAAAAGTAACCTACCATAGTTTAGAACAGACTAATTCTTGTAACAAATGGTTATGTAAATTATTAAATATTTAAATAATCTATTTGCTAATATAGGCCAGAGAAGAAAGACGGTATCAGCGAAGGAATTGTGGAGCCCACGGAAGGAGATGTCCAGGGTAATGTGCAGATTAAGGCAGTGGTCAGCAATGGCAAGGTAATTAACCATGAAATCACTGAAATTAATTAAAGATAAGTTAATTATATTAAAATATCTAGATAAATATATCAAAGTAAGAATTAAATTAAAACTCTAAAGCAATATCCCTCTAATATAACATGATCAGGGCAGAAGTAAGAATTACGTTATGACATTTTTTCGAACTAGTCTATTGTTGTTGGGCGTAGGTCATAGCTACAGCCTTACAACTTCAGTGGGACGAAATTTCTTCTCATTTTGCATCATGTTGTGAGAATCAGGTGTCTTACATGTTGCCATTTTTAAGAAGCAACATATTAGTATGTTTCTGTACCTTATAAACTCACTCTTCTTGAATCAATAACAATTTTGCAAAACGTTTTCTTGTTTAATATTATTTTAGTATAGAAATATCATACTTTTACAGCCTAGATAGTAAACCGCTTTAATTCCGATGATCGCGAGTTCACGGTTCAAATATTTGTATTTATAAGTACGAGTGTACTACGAGTCTGGGTACTATGTATCTTTTGTATTTATTTAATAAAAAAAATATCTAAGTCTTTATATTAATTGTCTAGTTCCCATAACACAAGCTCTTCTTAGCTTGGGACTAGATGGCGTTTTGTGAGTTATCTAGGGGTATGATTATTATATTTATTACTTCATCATTTTCTTTATTTTTTTTACCCAGCGTGCGAGTGACCGCTCATGGAAGCAAGCTTGGGCGGTTCTGCATGGTGCTAAGCTGTATCAGTATCGACACCATCCTAATCAGGTCAGTCACATTAACAACTTGTATGTTTTTCGCAATTCTTCAATACTAGAATATGATTTTCACAAAACAGTTCAGTAGCAGTTGAATATAAGTACCCGTTAAAATATATTTTATTTTATTTATTAGGCCAGTAACAAGGCTTACGTCAACATAATTTAATTACATTATATATAGCACTTTATAATATAGTTAATACACTTAGCCCAATCTTAATTATAGATAACCACGATATTTAAATGAAAATTTGTGCTTACAATTAATAACGCGTAACATAACAATTTTTTTTTTAATTACTTTACCATACGGATTTATTTAGGACTTATAATACTATTGAAATATTTGCGGAAATTACAATAACTGTCTCTAAATATGTTAAATGGGAAGTGATTCTTTGAATGTTGTAAGTTTATTTTGTCAATAATAAATTGGACAAATATTTCAACTGAATTCAACAATCACGATTGATTTTCGACACTTTATCATAGAAGATTTCCGACTGCTTATTAAGTTCAGTAGAAGAGATATATACTGAATAAAGTGTGATGACACTTCCTATAATTTTCCTATGTTAAAAACTAGAAAGTGTCTCGACTTCAAATCGAATCTGTTTTCTATTAAATAAAACTAAAATTGTTCCTAATTCCTTTATATAAAAACTAGCTTTTGCCCGCGGCTTCGCTCGCGTTATTTTATCCTCTTAGGGGGACGTTATAGTAACATTATGCATGCAAAGTCTCAGCCCGATCGGTTTAAAATTGAAAAGTTTCATACAAAATTTCACCCCCTATTTTATTCCTTTGGGGGTAGAATTAATCAAAATCCTTTCTTAGCGGATGCCTACGTCATAACATCTACCTGCATGCCAAAATTCAGCCCGATCCGTCCAGTGGTTTGGGCTGTGCGTTGATAGATCCCTGTGTCAGTCACCTTTGAGTTATATATATTTAGAAATATATATTTCCATTAAACTTAGTTACGCATTGAAGCAACATAATATATATACTTTTTAAGTACCGATAGCAGAACCCTATGACCTTCGCGTGAGGAAGATCCGTCCCATTTATTTGCAAGCTAGTGTAGCCTTGGCGGTGCGATCAATGATTCCATGAGTATATACTTATATGGTACACAACTTGTGTACACTGGAGTGCAAATATTTTGGTCACAGTTTGGCGATAATGGAATATTATTTTGCTTGGAATTTTGTTGGATTCCAGGTAGGTCGTATAGGCTTTTGTTTTGATATCATTTGTTTACAAGCACCACTTCACGGTAATGCTATTGAGGCGCACCTATTTGGCGTAGTTTGTCCTATTTTTATTGTATGCTTAATTTATGATACCGTGATCATAATAAAGGTTGTTTGCAATAATGTTTATTTTTTTCAGCTAATAACTAATTAGCTGAAAAAAACAATCATTATACAAATATAGAACTACAAAGTTTGCGCTGTTATGGTCTATTAAAATTATCTATATAAATAAAACAGTCACTATAATAAAGTACAGTAACGGCAGTATGGATCGCGTACTTTATTATAGAGTTCCTGTGACCACCTTCCAATTCCATTATCATATTAATTTACATTCGACATTCTAAAATTCATAGTATTCGCATTAAAAAAAATAGTTCCAAATTGTATCATGTACATATATAAAAGTAGACATGATAACGACGTTACTCTTATAATTAGCATGGGGTTCAATAACTACTTAAGATCTGTTCAAAATTTTCAAAATGTTTATTTATTTATATATATAACTTCAATGCACATAATACTTGATAAAAGGTTTTTGCAAAATTTAATAGTTTACATACTAATAAATATATATATATATATAATCTCTAATGAATATAATCCTAACATAAGTTAAATATGTTGTAGGAAAATTACCCTTAAAGTTGTTAGATATTATTAGAACGTTTAGAAATTAAGAATTCCAAATGTATCGATAACTTATCTTGAAGACAACAATACTCTTCCTGTGCCCGTATGCGCGCACACCTGGCCAGTTGCGCACGCGCCGAACCATTACGGTCGAATTGTGACGCCAACGACTAATGCTATGGTGATCTTTACCGTGACCGCAGCTGGTCTGATTTGGTTTTAATAGCGAATTAATTAACTCAACCTTTGCTCTACAGCTTGAGACATTACTTTATATAAATTTTGTGTGTCTACTTTATTATTAAAACAACAAATTACATTCGTACATTTAAATTATTGTGTATACAAAAAGGCGGTAAGGAAAATAGAGAAATACTTTTCTCGTTCATTTAAACGGGTTTTAACACGATTTTGTTAACTTTATTTTTTTATTTCCTAGCTTGCACTAGACGTGGTAACGCTAGTGTAACCTAGTTGAAACAACGAAAGAGGTAAATACTTTATTTACCATAAATTTATTCATATACTATATTAACGCGAAAGTTTAATAATAATTATAACAAAATTACTGGTTTCATAGTTACACTGCTGTCATTGATCCCGTCTTTCCCTTATAGGGATTGTCGTTCTTTCTTTATTAAACAGAGATCGTAAAGTTATTTTCCCACAAAAAGTTATCTTTGCAATCTGGCAGCGTCACACGCGAGTGGAATGAAATACCGAAGGTCCCTACTAACGTCACACACCATAAACCGAAAAGTGAAATATTTTCGTCCACTCGACCTTTCGGATGGGCCCGTAAATGTCGCGCGAAACACAACAGAAGCGTCGTTAACTCTACTCTTAACGCAGACTGGATCTGGCTTTTATGACATAATTATTATAGCTAGCTAATTGGGCGTCTAAATATTTCAGCACTAGTATAAGTGCTAGCAGCGTTTCTTAGATGAAGTAGATGACACACGTATCAAAGAAAATATATAATAGGTTTCACAATATATATTAGACAGATATAATAAAAAACCTCAATAGTAATCTGACTTTTAATGCAATAATTCTCTGATAACAATGAAATTAGGGTCAAATCCAAGTCACATAGAAGATGCCTCTTATATATGAAACCGATGGGGTTTACCTATATATTAAAGTTGAAGTTAAAATAGCTGTTTATAGCAAATGGTAATAAATGCTCATCTGAAATCGCGCCTAGTGTCTGGTATTACGCTTCTAACTCACATATTTCGCTAAAGACCACAAATAGCCATTTTAGTTGTCTAGCTATACAGAACGGCGAAATTGAATAGTCCACAAATATTTCTGCGTTGAAAACCGTTTCCTATCTCGAAAGCTTTCCTTTAATCTAGTGTAAGCACTAAATACTATTCTCAGTACATATTTACGGATCTATACATCAATACCGTTCTAATATATCCCTTTCAATTTCAATCCTTACGCCTGTAGTAAACAAAAGTCAAATTTCTCGATATCTTCAGTTTCACTTTCACGGAAGACATTCCGTTTGTGAAATGGATTTAGATGTTCTTAGAATCGAAACTATGATATTTCGAGGCGTTTATTAATAAAAGACATCGTATACGTACAGCAAAACAAAGTTTTATAGTAATAATGAATATATTTAAACTACGATGAGAAGAGCCTAGTTATACACATTGTAGTTGTATTATTTTTACTGTTTCTATTTAAATAAGTATGTAATATTTCTTTTTAATATAATATAAAATATTTTTTATGTTTCACTTAATACTTTATACTGTAATTCAAATGTATATCTTTTTTGTAGTTTTCAAAATGTATTCGTGAAAAAAGAAATATATATCTAACAAGAGTTCTATCTATATAAGTAGGCTTTATTAATCGGTTTATGTTCTCACCTCTCATTTCAATTAATATGAAATGTGTAGACTTTAAAAACAGTAATAACATGTAGAAGTATATTATTAGTTATTCAATACTCTTGAATTCAATATGTGAAACGCTATCTTTCTTAACCACGCAGACATGCTGTCTCGTTCAATATATTATAATTTATCCTCCTCACATAATCGCTATATCATATTTTTATTCTGTCATCTTATTTCTTCGTATGCGTGCCACGATTTTTATTATACTTTATTTCAAGATCAAGGTGACAACTTCTATTGATAAATTAGTTCGGATTCTGAAAACGTAGTAAGCGCGTCGCAATTTCTTAGAAACAATCTCGCATTTATTTTTATTTATCACTTGCTGATTTTACCTCCTATGATGCGTGTCATTGCATATTTTGTACCCAAATCATTTCTAAGAACGAATCTTGATACATCCAAATGAATTACTGCCAAATTTGTATCAAATGCTTTAAATCCACTTATGGTACCAATTCTCTACCATCTTCTGAAATCATTAAGATATATATTAGTTTAAAACATCATTTTTTTACTTCTATATTCACTACATATTATACGTTAAGTAGTTACATATTTGTACATTTTGTTACACCATAACAAAATGTACAAATATGTAACTACTTAATGAATATTGTAATAAATGATTTAGAATTTAATTATTAATAATTTTAGCAATAAAATTTCGTATAAACTAACGTACCACTGCTGGGTATAATTATACTCATTTTTCTTATTATCAAATTAATATTATGCTCATTTTGTTAAATGAGTGTAATATTAATTTGATAACTATTGTATACGTAACTTCCAACAACAAAAAAATATAGGAAATAATATTTTATAAGCAGTAGCAATTTAGCTACATTTATCTGTTATTTTTTATGAAGTATTAAGTGTTACATTGGATTTTGTCTGCTTTATTAAACCAAAAGATATATTCTCGTAATACAATTTATATTCATAGTAAACTTTAAATTGCAGTTAACTGTTTTTTCGTGAAGACCTAAGAAATACAGACAGACAAATAGCCACACCTTCGAATTTGTAAGACATATTAGCAGAGATATACCCATCTGAATTTGATACGCATCTATTATGTGAATTTTCTTATTCCAATACAACTAAACCAAACAATTAAACAACCTTCCTTGTTTACGTACATAAGAGTATATATTTTATTGCTATCTAAACAAATATAAACTGCT